GTCTTTAAATTCTTAATTATTTTATAAAAGTCCTTCTAATATTTATAAGAATTTTAAAATATATTCTCTAACTAAGACTTATTACTTAATATATTAAATCTTATTGATGGTTTTAATTTTCTTATTAATAGTTTTTTATAACTGATTAAATTTTTCTTCATAGTACTGGTAATTAGAAAATATTATGATTATCTTAGGGTTTCTTTATTTTTTGTTGCTATATATATAATATTAGTTGGTAATATACAGAGTAAATTACTTCATAGCTTTTCTATTAAGGAAGCTTGATATTGCTAGTACTTTATTAGACTTATTTATAATTTATTTACTGTTATATATAAAATAGAGTTATATTTAAGCAAGATATATCTTAAAGATTCTATGTTCTCCTTTAAATAAAATTATTATTCTAATTTTGATTTTTTAAGATATTTAGTTTAGTTTTCCTTTATTATTAATTATAGTTTTTTCTAATTCTTTAATATGTTATAATAACGCTGCTATGTCTCTATTATTAGTAGTTGTGGTATTTCCACTGTTAGTATTAGTAGTTCGTAAATTAGGATTTAAGGTCATTGAAACTAGGGTTTAAGATATTATTATTACTTATTCTTAAAACTTCTCTTTTAACTAAGGGTCTTAAATTATTAGAAACTTTAGTTTAATTATCATTAAGTACAGCTAGAATAGTTATTAATAGATGAAGTTAATAGACTTCTAAGGTTAAAAGATCTTAGTAGATGAAAGAAATAAGAATAAGACTATAAATATTCTAATTAATAAAAGATTATATATTCAAGTTATTATAGTTAATTTAAGATGATAGAAAAAAACTAAATATATAGTAAATAAATGTCCTTATATAGCTTTCCTCTATCATAATCTTTATAGAAATCCTCTGATTTCTCTAATTTATAGATTATAGCCATTATAGAAATCCTCTAATTTCTCTGATGCCCTAACCCTAAGGCTTTGCGGGTAATCCTTTGTTCCGATGTGCATTAGTCCCGTAGTGACTAACCTGATCCATTGGCTGTGACGTTCTGATTCTCTGACAAATATATTTATAAAGATTTTAATACTCTAGGACTAAATTATCTCTAATTAATAGATAATTATAATAAACTTTCCTTCTAGAAATTTTAAATTTATACCAGAATTAATATATATTCTTAATACATTATATAGATATATATTAGGAATAATAATTATATAATTTTTAGTATTCTTTAATAATATCTTAGTACTCTAAAATTAAAAAATAGACATCTTAGATTTATATAATCTAATAAAGGAGATAAAACTACACTATTAATAGTAATATATTATATATTATATAAAAAGTATAATAAGGATGCTATTATATTAAACTATTATTAATATAATATAAGTATAGCTAATTAATAAATTAAAATCTGATAGTTTTAATTAATAAAAAATATTATCTTTTTATAATAGATTAATTCTCATTAAATCTTCTATAATTTAGTTTTATTAATATAGAGTCTAGGATTACTTTTAAAAACTTAATTAAAATTATCTTTTTAATTAAAATAAGATTTCTAATCACATTATAATATTAGTAGTATATATACCTTCTATTTGTAATAAGATATGTAACTTTATATATTTATAGAATATATATACTATTTAAAAATAGAAGAATTAATCTAATAATATTTTTAACAAGCTTTTTTTCTTATATTATTATCCTAAGAATTAAAATATATAAGATTATAGCTTTTTTTCAAATAAAACTTTTTTAAATAAGTTACTAGCTAAGTTAGATAATTATAATATATATTTATTAATATTATTTATAGTACTTTTACTAATAAATGAGTAAATTAAATATTAATAAATATCTATCTAAATAAATACTCTATTAATATTAGGAGAAGCTTTAAGGATTAAAATATTTATCTTTATAACTAAGAGATATATTTTTTAATAAAACTTATTATTATTATATTACTTATCTTAATTTTTAAGTCTTTATAAAAAAATATATAAATAATAGCAAAGCACCTTTACTTATTAAATTAAACTTTCTAAATTAGAAAAAACTCCAGCATCTACTTAGGAATAATAAATTTAATAATAATATTAAGAAAGTAATTTTAAATTATAAAATTAAAAATATAAAGTAATCTAATATATTTTAAAATAATCTAAAATAATCTTACTAATTATATACAAATCTAAATCTAGGAAAAAAATATTATCTAAATAAAAAAAATTAATCTAAAATAATCTAGCTAATTAGATTATATCTTTTTTATTTAACTAATAATAGATTATTTTATTATTAAAGAAAAATATCTATACTTTATTTAATATCTCTAAATCTTTCTCTTCTTCTTCTTTCTTTAAGTAATATATATTATTAGAAAATAACTATCTCTACTATTTTTATCCTTGCTTAACCCTCTATAATCTTTTTAAATAAAACTAATATACTTACTACTATAGCAGTTATATATTATAATTAGCTTTATTTTAATAAAATAAGATTATTACTAATATAAATCTATTAAGATAAGGAATATAAAATAAGATTTAATAAGATTATTTATTACTATAATAGTATATCTCTAAGACCTATAATATCTTTAATCTCTAAGCCTTTAGAGAAAGATAGCTTTATTATAAATTAATAATTTACTAACTTGCCTTTTCTAAATAATAATAAATATTTTAAAAAAATTATAATTCTATTAGTTAATTAATTAATATCTTTTATCTTACTATCTACTTCCACTCTATAAGTATAATATTATTTAAAATATCTTAAAGATAATACTAATATTAAAACTAGCTTATCTATCTAGCCTCTCTTATCTTTATTCTCTATATTAGCTAGTTCTCTAATTATTATTTTATAAGTATTCTATATAATATTATACTTACTATTATATCTATTAAATTAGTCTTTACTAATAGTTTTTTTAGGCTTTTAATTATCATCTTCTCACTTATTACTCTCTTATCTATTATTATTAGACCCATATCTTCTAGGACCTTTAAAATAAATAATCTTATATAGACTTAATTTAATTATATATAAATAACTAATTAATTCTATATCTTATAAAATTAATCTATTATAAGTAAAATTAATAAGCTATATAAGCTATAAGCTATTAAAAAATAATAATATAATTAAATTTATACTTATCCTAATAACTAAGCTAGTAATATTAATAGAATTATAAAGACTAAGTTAAATATCTAGTTTTTTAATAAATCTTATTATATTTAATACTAGTAAGATAACCTAAAATACTAGATCTATATAAATAAGAAATATAGATAGGTAAAGAACTTTAGCATAGCCTATATATACTATTATATTAATTCTTATATAATAAAATATAATCACTTAAGAAGGACTCTAAAGAAGCTTAAATTATCTTATAATCCTTCTTTTAATAGATTTATTTTATCTAAGGGAAAAGATCTAGGCTTTAATACTAGTAAAATAGAGTTAATAATATAATTTTATATTTAGAGATTATTTTTTATTTTATTTATTTTATTTTATTTCTTCTTTCTTTCTTTTCTTTTCTTTTATTATAGAAAATTATATTAACTATTAAAAGAATATTAAAATTGGACTTTGCGCCTCCATATAATAATATCTAAAAATATAAAATAATCTATAACTAGAGTAAAAATATATATATAAATAAGCTTCTACTAAATTATAATAATATTATTAATTATTAAATTAAGTCTCATATACTTCTTCTAATTGAATAGATAAATATATATTTACTTCTATATATATATTAAAGGGATTAACTTATAATTAATATATATCTATAGTTAGTTATAAAATATTATTAAATAAAAAAGCTTACTAATTATATATATTTATATTATTAATTAAATTACTTTAGATTACTTTACTAGTCTAAATATATCTTAATATAAGATTTAATTCTCTTTTTTTATTAGTTAGATTATTTCAGATTAGATTTATCTTTATAATTTAATATAAATCCTTAAAGTATTATTAACTTATTAAATTATTAACTTATTAAATTATTAAATTATTAACTTATTAATTTATTAAATTATTAACTTATTAAATTATCAACTTATTAATTTATTAATTTATTAAATTATTAATTTATTAACTTATTAATTTATTAATTTATTAAATTATTAATTTATTAACTTATTAATTTATTAAATTATTAAATTATTAAATCATTAACTCATTAATATATTTATATATTATAGATCTTTAGATTAAGTCTCCTCCTAACTAAAGTAGATTCTTTTTATATCTCTTTCTAGATAGGGATTCTATAAGCCTACTTTTAATCTAGATAGAGGCCTATATATATAAAAATAGATCCCCTTTTTATATTATTATATATCAGATTATATTCTTTTTAAATCACCTTGGAATTCAGCTGAGCTTAATAGTCATCACGTATATGTTAATATAGAACGTAGCCACCTACGAGGCCTAACCAACTAGGCTGTGGGGAAGACATATAGATTGGGAAAGATATATTAAATATGAGCCATCTAGTTAACGCTTTTTGGTGTTGTATAATAAGCCAGCAACAAGTTCAATATATTACCCGATTAGGATTAGCGCCGTGTTAATAAGCGAACATGCATTTAACAATATTACATATACACAAATGTAATACTAGTGAAATACGCATTTTGTCCTTAACGTACCTATAGGCTGCCGTACTCACCTAGCGCTTAGAAGTAACTTATGTGTCGGCATTTCACTATGCATCCCGCTTCTATATTTCCCCGATCTTATCTACAAACCAATGATAACCAACTTCTCCGATGGCCTTGAAACAGAGCCGTTCTTCAACTGGCGCAGGATAAAAGGCTCTAAGACCATGTTGCAGACGAATAAATGGAAAGACCTGGGAGGATTTGGAGAGAGCGTAAAAGCGCTCTATTCCATGTCTAGCAAAGTTTGACATCTGATTAAACAGAATCGACAGAGAACACCGCCGAACATGTCTCAAGACTTGACAAAGGAGCAGCAGCTGTTTGACCAGGAAGTCACTAGGATCGAAAACTGGTGGAACACTCCTCGTCAAGCCGGTATTCAAAGACCATGGACAGCAAGCACCATTGCGGCCCTGCGCAACACTGAGCCCCTGCCTTGTCATGTCAACCCCTTCGCTCTCAAGTTGTGGGATCTACTCCATGAACACCGCAGCAGAGGTACAGCGGAGATGACATTCGGTGCCACCGACCCAGTTGCTGTGAGCCAGATGGCCAAATATATGAAGACTGTCTATGTCTCGGGAGGATTGTCCGGTTTCAGCGAGAACAACTATCCGGGTATGGATCATGCAGACTATGTAAGCTAGTCAACTTTGAATCATAAAAAGCAAGAGGAAACCACGTTTTGAAGGATAAATCCTGAGTGCTAAACACTTCAACAGCCATGGGATACGGTGCCCAAAGTGGTGGACAAAATCTTTCGGGGTCAGCAGTGGCATGACCAAAGGCAACGGCAAGTCCGAATGCAGCATCCTGTAGAAGAGCGTGCGACGATGGAAAATTGGGATTACTTAATGCCCATTATTGCAGACGGTGATATGGGTTTTGGATCACTGACAGCCACGCTCAAGTCAACCAAGGCCCTTGTTGAATCTGGGGCGGCGGGCATTCACATCGACGACTTGGCCATTGGCATGAAGAAATTCACCATTGGTCAGGGGCGTACTATTGTTCCCACGTCGGAGTATGAAGACCGTATCAAGGGCTTGCGTATGCAGCTGGACATCATGGGTGCCGAGACCGTTCTTTTTGCCCGCTGTGATCTCGACCACGCTGATTTTATAACGTCCACCATCGATCCCCGTGATCACGAATATATCCTCGGCGCCACCGCAGATGTCAGACCTTTGCAACAAGTTATTGACGAGGCGATTATGTCTAAAAAATCGTCGAACGCTGTAAGAGACGAATGGCTTGCTTCTGCTGGAATTATGACGTTCGACGAAGCGGTAGAGCAGCAATTTCTCAATTTGACTAAACATTCCACGAAATCTGTTGATTCTCAGTTGGATGGCAATGCTTTTGATACGTACAAGTCTCAAGTCAAATATGGTACCTGTCTGTCCCGACGTCGCAATCTTGCCAAGAAGCTGCTGGGTGTCAACGTCCCATTCGATTGGGAACTTCCTCGCTCTCACAACGGCCAGTATTTATACAGATCAACAGTGAAAGCTATCGTCGAGCGTGCTACACTTGTTGCTCCGCTAAGTGACGTTTCGTGGGCACGCATGGACCTTCCCGACTATAATGATATCAAGGCCTATCACGAAGCGATGCTCGCTTGTTTTCCTGGCCGACTCTTCGCATTTGCCTGGGGCGGCGAATGGAAGTTCCCGCCATCATCAGGCTGGACGTCAGAGAGGCTGAAGACTGTGTCGCAGGACATGGCCAAGGAGTACGGCGTGGTTTGGCAGATCCAGCCGATGTACATGATCCAGGGCGTCAATATGGAGATAGAAAGATCCGCAGCAATGTGGGTTACAGACGGCATGGGTGGATATTACGACAAAATCCAGCGTAGGGCAACTGAAAGGAAGCCTTGGAAGGTCGATGGTTATGAAAAGATGAGTTGGTGTGGTGGATACTTAAGCGATGCTTTTTTTGCGGCCATAGCTGGTGAGGAAATTGCTAGAAAGTAAATATACTGTTGAGATTATGATATCACTCATCTGGCTTGTATCTTTGTCAATTTTCACAGTTATTTCATCATTCGAATGACCGCAAAGCATTCGTACTGCAGGAATACATTCTCGGATTGTGTACCCGGGAGCTGAAATCAATCTTCTTTAGGGCAGCCTTTGGCTAACTAGTCTGTGTAACTTATGCAAAGCGAAGTGCGAGCCAATGTGACTATTATATCGTTTTTAGTGAATATGTAATTCGAAAGGCTATCGGTAGAATATCAAGGTCAGACCCTCCCCGGCCACGGTCCCAAACTGCCTCCGCCTAATTCAAAAATCTTCGCCGCCTTGAGCACACACAAGTCATCAAATCTCTTGCCTATAATTTGCATGCCAATGGGTAGTTGAGTCACACCATCTGAAGAGGTCCCCCAGCCGCACGGGACACTCAACGCTGGATGACCTGTAGCATTGAAAGGGGACGTGTTGTTGGTAGAACCGGCAGCAAGTTTGAGCTTGTCCAGTGCAGAACCTCCATCCATATCTGGATGAAGAGGAGCCACGGTTAGAGTCGCGGGTGTTATGAGCACGTCGAAATCGCCATTGTAAAAAGCCGAATCGTACGCTGTACGTAACTGGAGGACGTGGCGGCGAGCCTTATTCTGGGCTGAGATCGGTACGTAGTTGATATCTGTGAGAATTTTCTCGCCCAATATTGTGTTGATCACCGCAGGGTTATGCTTTGTAAGGGAGTCGCACATCTCCTGATCCGGGGGCCAGCGATACTCAATATGAGGCATGTCGTGAATCAAAAAATCGCTTGCCCTTCCTCCGAAGGCGTGAGAGGCCATCTGGTTACGCGTAGCTGCAGTCCAGATGGCAGCTCCCAAAGTATGCAACGGAATTGAAACATCCAAAACATAAGCACCCATCGCAGTAAAGTGTTTCTCTGCTGCATGTCGGACTGTGCGAGCCACCTCCTCAGACATTGCCTGAATATTAAAACCTTCGAGAATCAAGCCAACACGCAAGGGTCTGCCCATTCCAGAGAAGTTCAACACTTTCTTGTTCTCTGGCAGTGCTTGGATGAACTGGGCCAGTTCATCGTGATATTGCCTTACGTTCTCTCTCAAGGGGCTCTCTGGACCCATGCGCGCGTCAAGGCCATCATATCCAGCGATAGCAGACAGGCATACGGCTATGTCCTCAACAGTGCGCGCCAGTGGTCCAGCATGATCAATCATGGGCAGGAGACCCGCAATACCGGTGTAAGGAACCAATCCATGAGTAGGTTTGAGTCCATAGATACCGCAGTAGGCTGCTGGGACTCTGATCGAGCCGGCTTGATCACCAGCGATGGCAATTTGGACATCGGGGCCTGCATTTTCTAGCCCTAGGACACCAGCCTGGCGAGCAAGTCCTAGAGCAACGAGCGCGGCAGCACCACTACTGCTACCACCACTGTTGAAATTGCGAGCCCAGGGGTTATGGACCGGTCCCGATTCAGCGCTATAAGACATAGGCGATAAAGAATAGTTTTCACAAGTAGTAGTCCCCACAATGGTTGCACCAGCGAGAAGAAGCCGTGAAACTACAGGAGCATCGATCTTCGACCGAGGATACTGCCCGGTGCTAGAGATAAACCGAGGAGATGTACCCAGGGTCTGAGGAATGCCTGCTACTGCAATGGTGTCTTTCAACGCAATTCGACGGCCCGTGAGAAGATGGCTATCCTGTGTATTCGCTATAAGTTCAAATCTATGACACCAAGTATTGAGGCTGTTCTCCTGTTTCTCGTCAGGCCTGCAATAGGTGCGCTGGCCGTCCTTCGTGGCCACGGGTCTCAATCTTGGGTCGATGTAATCCTTCAATGCATTTACCTCCAGGGCAATATCTAGGGAAGTCTGAAGTGCGAGTAGAAAAGCATCTTCCTGATCCGAAGGGAGTGTAAAACCACATTTACGAGCCAAATCATGTACAACCCCAAGGGTAATTGGGGAGTTTTTCCTTATCTCGGCGTCAGTAACCATGTGAATCCATTCACACTCAACTTCAAATAATGATAAGAGAGACCTACCCTGAACCTCCTGAAAGAAAAGGAAGAGACATGATAATTACGTGAAAAAAAATTTCCGTTCTGAGAGGGAACTAGCTCGAACGTCAATACCGATTTATCAAGGCCTCCTCATTCCTCGGACGTCTGATTCCGAACCCTGATTTTCTAGAATCTTGGATCAAAACACAACTAGAACACAACTTATCGTTTTACATGAATAGTAGCAACAGACTTACTGACAGGTTTGAATCAAGCGTTAAGAAGTCCGCCTCGTTGGTCTCAGAAAGTGACAGGAGCACTCATAGGATATCCGATGAACATTATTCATTGAGTTTTGGACTGGCGGGATGGTCAACGTGGATAATTATATTCAATCATCTCTCGGCATTAAACTCAGACAGTACTCTCGTCTGTATTTTAGGGTTTTCGACTAATAGGCTGATAGGATTGTTCTCGTATCTTTAAGTTATATAGTGTAATAATATCCGACGGGATTCAAAACTTGCACATTTCTACGGCAGCCTATTTGTACAACCTTGCCAAAATGAATTTTATATATAACTTATATTTTGCCACGAACTATGGTCTAAATTCCATAATATATAAAGGTTATGTAATAGTATAAATATAAATCAATTAAAACCTTCTGTAATAATTATACTAATAGTATAAAAATACCCTTATTAGCAAATAGATAAACTTAAGATCTTAATAGAGAAAAGTAAAAAGAGTTCTAAAATCTTTTTTTACTTCTTTACTTCTTTTATATATAATATAAGAAACTCTTTTTTATTTCTTATATAAGAATATTATGTTTATTTAATTAAGAATAATTATTTAGAAGAAATTTTATTAAGATAATTTACTATTATAAATAATTAGTAAACTAATTAATAAAAATTAATTAATTAAATATTTAGCTAATTATTTCTAGTTAATTTAATTCTTAATTAATAATAAGTAAAATATTATAATAAAATAGACTATTTCCTTATCTAATAATCTATCTTATTAATAAAAGTTTAATATATATTATTAAATATAAAATTTTTATATATTTAACTTATTAATTTACTTTCTTATTTTATATTTATAATTATTTTAAATAATATTATAGACTACTTTTTATACTAAAAATCTAGATTATAAGTATATAATATATATGAAATATCTAGCTTATAATTTCTATAGTTATGTCACGCGCCTGGATCCACCCTAGTTGTCACTGGTTGTGTCGAGGTACGATACGATAAATGAACCACACAAAGGTTCACGAGGGTAACTTGTCAATAAGATCAGATATAGTTCAGACTTATCAGTAATAAAAGTTTAGTTAATCATAATTTAAAATAAAAGAAATACCTTGAAGTATTATAATATTTTAAATAGATTTACCTTGCTAATCTTTTTAATATATAATTAAGTAACTTAGATTAAAGAGCTATACTAAGTAAGAACTAAGTATAGGAATGAGCATGTTTATATAGTTAATATCTTTTATACTTAAATTATATCCCTAAATATATATCTTATTATATATTTAATAATCCTGCTTAGTATTATATATATTTTTCTTATATTTTATAGTATATACCCTAGTATATACTAATTATATATTTTCTTATATTAGCTATAAGCCTATATATTTAATAACTGCTTTATATATTAATATATATAAATAACTAGTTATAATATTAGCTATTTTAATTAAATATTTTTTCTTGATAGTATTAGTTTCTATTTAGTATTATATAAATTAATTTCATAATATTACTCCTCTCTTTTAGGACCTTTATTTTTAAAGATATAAATAAAAAGACTTACTCTTATTTCTAGTATAACTTTATTTTCTTTATAAGTAAGTATTTAAAATATATTAATATATTTATCTCTAATTACCTTATATATTATATTACTTAGACTAATTTTATTTAAAAGAACAATCTTTCTTCTAATTTTTTATATAAATATTATTTATTCTAAAATAAAATTTATATTATAAATTCTAAAAGCTATAATTATACTTTATATATTTATTATAATTATAAATATAAAAAGTATTTCTATAATTTAAAAGAGTAATTACTTCTTAAGAAAGAATAAAATAAACTAAAGTCTAATCTTAAATTAACTAAGCTTTAATTAAAATAATATATAATAATATAATAAAAATTATTTATTAAAATTTATTATATTTAGAAATAATAAAAATTTCTTAAAGAGTATAATAATAAAATATTAAATTATAATATAAATATTATAAATATTTTTAATAAGAAAGATTTTAAAGATCCTATTCTAACTTTTTTAAAAAAATAATATCTTAATATTACTATATCCTTCTTAGATATTAAGATATTACTTACTAATTCTAAACTATTTCTACTAGATATATTTTTATTTTAGGATTTTCTTCTCTTAGATTTTAATATTAATAAAACTTTTTAATTATTTCTCTTACTTTAATAAGATTCTTAATAACTTTCTAGATATTTTTTAATTTATTATATCTTTTTTACTTTATTAAATATCTTTTATAGTTTCCTATTATTTTAATTACTAATATTCTTTTAACTTTATAAGTTTTTTATTTAATAATAATATTAATTTATATTTTTATATTCTATAATACTAATTTTAATAATAATATATAAAATATAGAATAAATTTTTATAAAATCTAGTAATTTAAATTTATAATTAACTTCTCTAATTTTTTCTTTAATTTTAAATAGTCTTAATTATAAATAATTAAATTTATTACTTTCTTATAATATTTATAGATTTTTTTAAGAGAAGTAAATCTTCTTTTTCTTTTTAAAGTTAGATCTTTTCTAATTTTTATAATTATATTTTTTTATATTAGTTTATCCTTTATATTTTATTTTTTATTATAAATAAAGATATATAATTTTTATATTATTAACTATTCCTTCTATAGTTTCTGCTATTAGTTAATTATAATATAATTATTTTAATATTCTTACTTCTCTTTTAGTATATATTATAAATAATATTATTTTTATTATAAACTACTTACTTATATTATATACTAATTATATTATTAGAAATAATTCTACTTAATTGTCTTATTAATAATTTATATAATTTTATAAGTATTATTTAAATATCTAATTTATTTATTCTATTTATCTATTAATTTATAAATAATATATTAAATTTAATTATTATTCTTCTTCTATTAAATCTATTATAGATTTCTATAATTATAATATAAATACTAATTCTTTATCTAATACTATAATTTCTAATATATTATGATGTTAAAATACTTATTATAATAATATCTTAGCTAATAATAATATATTTATTTTTTCTATTATTAGTATAAAATATATATATTTTATTATTCTATTTATTATTACTAAGATTAAGTTGTATCCTTTTAACTTTAATAGTTTTATAATAAGATTTATTATCACCTATTATTATAAATATTCTAATATCTATAATAATTATATTTATCTATATAATTTATATCTTATAATCTTATTCTTTTGATACATATTGTATTCCTTAATATAATTATATATTACTTTATATATATTTAGCTAGTAATAATTTCTTAATATTTTTTCTAATATATTATTAATTCCTAGATATTCTATTATTAGTTTATTATAATATATTTTGATGATTTTTTCTCTAATTATTTTTAATATATAGATTAAATTATACTAAAATATAAATCTTATTTTATTAATAATTATTTTTTTATATTTCTCTTTTTATTATCTATTATTTAATATTTCTTAAATAATTTTATTATTTACTATTTTTTTAATAATTAGATCTTATAACTCTAAATTAATATTATATTCTATTATTACTATTAGAGTAGTAATCTATAGATTATATTCTAGATTTCTATTTTTTATTTTCTTAAGTAGTATAAATTCTAATATTTATATTTCTTTTTTATAATCTAATTATTTATTAAATATATCTACTTATTTATTATCTTTTCCTTTATAATATTTAATTATAAACTAATATTATAATAATATTTCTAACTATTTTACTTATCTTCTTATTAATACTTTAGTTAATAAAAAATAAGTGAGGTTTTTATAATCTATAATAATTTATATAAAAAACTTAGTTTCTTCTAGATATATTTTTTAATATTATAATATTATTATTATTATTAATAATTTTTTATTATAGATATTATAATTTAATTCTATATTAATTATTTTTCTTAAGTAGTATATAATTATTTTTTATTTTCTATTTTATCTTTCTTATATTATTATTGCTTTAATAGTATAATTAGATATATTAATTTCTAATATTATTAGTTTATTATTATTAAATTATACTAGTATAAATATAATTATTAAATAATATTTTACTTCTTTAAAAGCTTTTTCTTATTCTTCTATTTATTTATATCTAATATTCTTTTTAAGTAATCTAAATATAGATATTATAATATTTATATATCCTTTAATATATCTTTAATAGTAGTTAATTATTTTAATAAATAATTATAGTTCTTTAATATTTTTTAATATAAGCTAGTCTTTTACTATCTATATTTTTTTTTTATCTATTTATATTTTTTTTTATATAATCTAATATCCTAAGAAATTAGTTTCTTATATATAAAATTTATATTTTTCTAGTTTTATTTATAATTTTATTATTTTTAAATTTCATAATATCATCTTAATATATCTAATATAATTTTTTAAACTATTCAAAAATATTATAATATTATTAAGATAGATAATAGTAAAATTATATAAATAATCTTTAATAATTAAATTAATATATCTTTAAAATATTACTAGTATATTAGTCAATCTAAATAATATAATTAAATATTTATGCTATCTATATTTTATTTTAAATATTATTTTTTATTCTTTTCTTTTCTTAATTCTTAAGTAATTATATACATCAATAATATTAAGTTTAATAAATTATTTCTTTTTTTTAATCTTATCTT